TGCAATTCAAGAAACTGTAATTCTTCCCAATCAGAAACAGGTTTATTACCAGGTAGGTTTACACGTACAAGGAATTTGACTTGGTGTCATGGTGCATACATAAAAGTAAAACAAGAATTAAAAACACAGGTAGAGAACATATTCTATTTTTTTTTTAATATATAACAGTATTGCAAACAATCTCTACTATTGATAAAGTGTGTCATCTATCGATTGTCTTGTCTCTCAGGTGTCGGTGTACGACTGGTCTGCTCTGGATCCGGTCTGCACCCGGAGGTCCGAATCGCTCCTGATCCCCGGAGGAAGTGCGGCGGCCATTTTTAAGCAGCGAGTGAACCCCCTGCTGGGCGGATGCGGGCGCTGCAGCCGCCTCACCTGCCTGTTGGCCTTCCACCTGGAGGACAGCAGCGGGCAGCGCGGACCCACAAACCATCACTTCCTGAGCTCCCCTAAAGACGCTCAGGGGCTCCAGAGACCCAACATCACCGTAAGACTCCCTGCAACCTGGATTTTTTGTATTCACTAATTCCCGGATTATAAATATTACAATAACTAAGGATTCATTTATTATCTTTTAATCATTCTGTGATTCCATTTGTGTGAAAAATCACTATCACAAAATGTCATTAGGAAGATACAAAAAATATATAAAATGGTTATTGTAATTACTTACTTTCTCAGAGTTTAAAGATACATTTTTTAAGCTTTGGTCACTTTGTGAGATGGTGCAATTTTTTTTCCATGACATCTATTTGCTGACTATGGAAAAGAAAATATACGTGGTATCTCGCTTTTTTTACAGCAGTGATAATTATAACTCTTTTCGAGCTGGGAGCACAAAGTGATTTGAACATTTCTTAAATATGTAGCATTCAAAAAGACAAAACTATCACAAAAAGAGCAACTCAAAATAAATTGCAAATAGCCAGAACACAGATAAAGAGCTGAATAAAACGTACTTTCACTAAGTTTTCCAAAAGTAAAGCATTTGAAACTTAAAAATACAACTACAATTAGGTCTTTACAACACAGAGCTATACTGTGTACAAAAGCAAGACCAGTTCAAACCGGAGAGACGTGATGTAAGAATTACATATTTATTGTTTACACGTCATATGAATGAAATGATTGCCACGATAATACAACAGGAGAATGTAATGGTGTTTGGCGATTAGGCCCCGGTTTGCAGGATAATCATTCAGGAGGGAAAGAACCGCTCCGATGAAATCCCCGGCGTCTAGACACTGGTGGTGGTGATGAGTAGGTGAGACCGGTCTGAAGGAGGAAGGTTTAGCTTTGTCCTGAAGGAGACAGGAGGCGAGAGGGGTGGAGGCGGGTTGCGTGTGATCATCTGCAATGACAACTGACAGGGAGGAAGAGCAGGCATTTAAGGAATTTAGCATGTGCAGCGATTGGCTGCTGAGGGGTGACGCCCTCGTATTTAATGAGGGGGGAAGGGAGCCATAGAGTGACGTGTAAGTGACTCGTGTTAGGTCTTCCTTATTGAACTTGCGCTAAAGCTTTCATTTGTCAGACACAAAGGCAAAATGTGCAGTTTTGCGAGTAATTTTAAAAGCCATTTCTACTGATAACATCAGTCTCATGCAACTTATAAACTCCTTTTGTGTGTGTCCTTGCAGGCCTCAGTGCAGGAGGATAAAAGCCTACTCACCGTCACGCTCCACTCCTCCGCTGTAGCTCCCTTCGTGTGGCTCGATGTCGGAAACATCCCGGGACGCTTCTCCTCTAACGGCTTCCTGATGCTCTCTGCAAACACCACGGTCAGTTTTAACGCCTGGCGCCCGACCAGCGCTGCAGAACTCTCCAAAGCACTCGCCATCACTTCTTTAGCAGACGTTTACTGACCTGAGAGCAGCAAACAGACATGAGGAGGTGAACAGTATAAAAACATACCATGAACAAAGTTTTCAAAATATATTTTTATTCTAGAGGTGTCGCGAATCGGTATCGATGAGAAATGTGTCGTTTATAGAATTTGTCGACAACATGTAGTCTGAATTGGGTTATGTCTCATACAGGGTGTTGTGTCCTGAAAACAGTTGTATTATTGCATCTCTCAGAATAACAGAATGAAAAGTCAAAAAAATGACTTATTTGATATACCGGTATTGACAATAGTCGTGATGTTTATAAGATGAGATGTTTATATTTTGATAATTTTATACATTGGATTTATTGTATACAAAATCAAGTGATGATAATAATAAATATGAACATATTTGTGCAGTAATGGTTACAGACACTCGTATTTTAAGTGTAATGTATTACTCTATAAAAAAGAGACAAATGCACAATAAAATGTAAAAATGAGAATTTGAATATAACTTTAATTGTATTTTATTTCTTCTAAATGGGTTTTCTTGGCCAACCTTGCTTGCCTTTTTTTCACAATATATTTCGTAATTTGAATTGGCCACTTAAATGTGTACCGTTTGGCTGGCTTGCGTACTGGTGTAAAAACAAAAAAGGCCATGTTGTCTTACTCGTCCGGTTTCTAAAATATTAACCCTCTACAGCAGGGGTACTCAAATACAAATCTTAAAGGTCCAAAAAATGTTTTTTAATAAGACAAAGGTCCGTTTATTACGGTCATTCAAACTTTTAAACAATTGCAACAAGATTCTTAACACGAGGTTGCAAAAACTAAAATAATCTGTATGCAGCAGTTTTCATTGTTATTGTGTCTGTGCTTGACCCCTCAGAGTCGCAGTGTAAGAGCTGCACAGTTATGAATAAAGGCAGCCGCACCCTCTTTCATTCAGCATTCCCATTATTGCTTTATAAATGTATTCCCCCTTGTGTGTCCACTGAGGTTCGTCAGGCCCAACACATCTTCAACAAACTCCCCCTTTGCCTCATCATACAAACTCACAAACACCAGCAACTGAGCATTGTCAGTGGTGTCAGTGGACTCACCCACAGCTAAGGAAATGCACTGTGCATTTTATATTCCATCACAAAGCTGATTAATCAAATCACCAGCCAGTATTTATGTTCTTCTGGTTGCTGTGGAATCTGAGAGGGGGATTTGCTTGATTTGACCTGTTATTTCCTCTTTTTGTTTGCCTTCAACATGGTCTCCATCACTTCAGTCATGCATTCTTTTATACTGCAGTTATTATCCAGTGGAAAGCCCTTACCTACTGGCCTAGTTCAATCAAAGTGGTTACTTTTTTTTGGCTGGGCAGTGTAGTTGTACACACCATCTTATTTGACTTTCTCAGGACTTAAAACTGTTTTTTGGGGGCAGACCCCCTCAAAGAAAAAAATATATTTACACACGTTAGGTCATCATCTTAACAGTTTGGTATGCTCATCCGTGAGCAGCGCATCAAGTTGACATGTCTATTACAGCTGAATGCGGCGATTACCATTTTGTTCAGCAAAACGCCTCACAAAATTAGTAAGATCCAAAGCTTTAGTGCGTTTTGATTCAATGCTGAGTACAGCCACACTGACAGTCTCTTCTCTGTCATTGTAGACCGCAAATACCTCATTCCTTCAGAACTTGGGTCCGAATGCTTCTCGTTTTGCGCCGTACCGTTCAAATGAAATCGCCGCCAATCATATTTCAACCTGATTTCAACGCTCGCGCCAGGGCCGGGGGAGGTGTTACCATAGATATATATAAACACTAGATGACTCACCCGCGCTGCTGGCCAATGGAGACCGACGTTGCCACTTGGCCGCCATCTTGCTACAGGGAGTTCTCTCATTCATAACATTATGGTTTACTATTTAAATAACCATAGCTTGCTCAATTTTCAACCAATTTTCAAACGGTTTGGTTTTTTATAAACATCAAAGATGTAGTTATGATACTGCATACTTATAATCATGGACTTTCATATGAAAATAACATTAATCAGATAAAGCAATAGCTATACACACACACACACATGGTATTTATATTAAATATTTGCTGGTGTATATATTTCCATTTATTTTATTATATTGTTAATATTTAAAATAAATTATAAAATTAAAATACATTTATATTTTATATATAAAAATCGGTCTCATGTTAACACTCTGTAAGCCAAGAGTTGTTAATTTAGCAATGCCTTAGCTTTAAGAACAGGGACACAACTAATGACAATAGCATATGTTGGTATATTATTTAGATATTCACACCTTTATCAGAAGAACCAAACCAACATAAAATGTGCTCACAGACAGGCCAGTTCTGTCTAATTTATCACAATTATTTTGACATGAGATCTTCATATTACTATACTAGTTTTGTATTTAGTTTCTAGATTTGTAAACAAATCCAGAACCTTTGAAATATGTTATTGAAAAAAGACCAAGAATAATATAAACTGTACCATGTGTCCTTTTGTGTCCTTCTGTGGTTTGTCTTGTCTCACCCCAGCTGATATATCACAAAATCCACTGTTTAAATTGTTCCCTATATTGCCCCTGTAAGGTGTCCTTGGGTCCTTGGGAAAGGCGGCCTCCCAAAATAAATGTATTATTATTATTATTAAGAAGAACAACTTGGTGTGGTGTGGAGGGGATGTAGGAAGCAGGAGCAGGTGGGGAGAGATGGGGCTTCAAGGTTCAAGGTTATTTGTTTTAAATGTGTCTTGGAGATAAGGACCAGCTGCACACAACAAAATACAGTATAACACAAAACCAATAAGACACACGGTGACACATGGCACACCAACAATCAATCATCGTCCAGCCTCAGCTTTGGTATTCTTTCACAACCATGTTATGGGTTTATAAGACTGAGCAAACATAAACATATGTGGGGAACATAGTGCTGCGTCTCATGGAACATGAAGATTTAATAAATACATAGTAGGTGGCGATATATGCTCCTAGTGGTAGCGATTCGCCATTAAACAAAGAAGAAGAAGAAACATCAGGGGGAAAGAGAGGGAGACACACAAGCACCCACTACGGCACGCAACACATGTTGTTACGTTCCCTCTTGGCGAGGGGTACAAAGGGAAACGACACGACCAGAGTAGAATTGGTATGTGTTACCAGCGATTTATTTGTAACTGCAAGTAAGTAAAATGATATGCACAAAACAGCTTGGCCCAACAACGGGTCAAACTGTTACTGTCCTGTCACAGGAAACAAAACCGTCCCTTCTTATGGCGAGTTCCCACTGCCTCCTCCTCTCTTCGGTTTTGGGAAACCTTAAAAACATGAGAAAGGTAGCCAGATATATAAATTATTGTCAACATTTTCCTCCCTTCTTTCCTTTAACATTAAGGGTAAGGACAAAAATACACATCGAAATTATCATATTTTTGGTATGTATGCATGTATGTATAGCCTACTTTAAGAATAAGACAACCACACTAAGAGTAATAAAAAAGGTGTCCAAAAGAAACATTAAATAATTGTGTAAAGAAATGGTAACAACATATTCTAAAGAGGCTGGGTCAACAACAATCTTGCAATACTATTATCTCACATAGCCCCACTGATCCTGTGTAGCAGGACTTGTAATGTACATACATCCACTAAGTAATTAACGATTATCCTAATTGTAGTCATAATATTGTCATATCTTACACGTGAAAGGTGATTCCACGGGTTCTTGTTTGCAGACTGCGGTGATTAGAGCATCCGTAGGCTGCACAAAAGTCCGGCATAGTCAGGTACTTCTGTAAACACAAAGCTAGCAAATTCCTGTATCATAATGCAAGATGTTTTTAACAAGCCAAACCACTTGGAAGAAATAATGTGTAACTTAAGTTATGTTGAAAAGAAAGAGCAGTTCTGCCTCTCCCACTGGTGTAAAGTTGCTGGGTCAACTTTGTAATACTAGGTCTCACTCACAGCCTCTTGTTATTAGCCAGCTAATAAATACAACCACATACACAAAGAAAAGCTGCAATTTCAACATGTCCAAGCATCCTGTATCATAGCCATGCTAATAATGTTTATAATAAACTAAACCGTTTGTAAATCAGTCAAGATTTCAGCGAGTTAAGAGTATTTTTGTGCAGATCACTCACCTTACAACAGCTACCATAACGCGAATCAGAGTAACTGTTAACTGTAGCAAGATGGCGGCCGGTCAGCTATGCTGGAAAATCTCCCATGAGCCATCTAGTGTTTATATATATATATCTATGGGTGTTACAAGACGTGTGTCTTGTGCTGCATTCATTTGCACTCAGACATTAGAGACGTTCTCTCATAAATGTCCGATGAGCCACAACTTTTCTTTCAAAACAAAGCTGCCAGCTGGGGTGGCAAGGCCTATTTTTAGGGTGGCAGTTGCCACCCCATGCCACCCCGGGGGCCCGATAGGTGAAACTAGGCTACTAGCTACAGTACAGATGCAACTAGATGAGCTGTTAACGGAGCGTCCACACTACAGCTTCAAAAAAAGCTTGGAGCTGGGCGTGTCTGAAGCTTGGGGATTGTATTCAAGCACCGCGACCAACAACCAATCACATGTATCTCCCGCCCCCGACATAGAAAGCAAAACCCCCCGGGGATTTTATGGGAGCAATATATATATAAACTCCCCAAACAGGCGAAAACCTACCAGTTTCACCCACTGTCTCTGCCACCTCCCTCCATGCCTGGTTCCTCCGGTTTGTATCCCGGTAGGTGAAGAGGGTCTGGTCATACAAAACCGGGTGATTTACTACGGCGATAATTAGTTTCTCCTCCATCTTTTTTTGAAATATAGAAATGAATGGCGGGATATCTCTCCCAGTTTAGACGCGGTTTGATTGGCTACGGCTTGATCTGTCAGATTTTCCGAAACGGGATTTGATTGGCTGGCGCTGGCTACTCCGGCGTCAGAAGTTACGGCCCGTCCACACTACAGCGTCTGCAGCGTCCACACTCTCGCTCTGACTTTCTTTTTTTTTTAAAACACGTACACATTTTCCCCACCCGCATTCCGCGAAGACCCGCCCAACTGTGCCTCTGATTCGCAGACTGTTGGTGGGGGGACGACGACGCTGACGGGATGCTGAATGCGATTGGACCAATGCGTTGACAGACACACACACACACACACACACACACACACACACACACACACACACACACACACACACAGACAGACAGACAGACAGACAGACAGACAGACAGACAGACAGACAGACAGAGCGCAGTGGACATAGCAGAGCATTTTGACTCGTTGCGTTGTCTCAAAGATAACACAGATAATACATATGAAAAGCATAATTTGCTCAGAGTCCATAGACAGTTGTGGTTCGGTCCGGATCCGGACCTGAGTCCGGACTTTGAGGATGCCTGCCATAGAGGGTTAAGTTATAGTAATAATAACAGTACTAATAAAAATCGTAGTTATAATAGGATCTGATTTATAGAATTGAACCCTCCTGTTATCCTAAGATTGACTTTACACCCTTTATCCTCTTGGGTCAATTTGACCCCAATAGTTTAAAACTCAAGACAATGATCATATTCCAAATGTTAACCAACATGTATGTCTCTGGTGCTTTAGGTATCTTAGTGGACTACCTAAATAACCATTTAAATAAAACATTACCCCAACCTTCCCCCCCCACATACCCCTTTATACATCCAGAATTCCTATTATGTGACTATCGAAAAATATATAAATCACCATAAAATCTCACTGACTGAAATAAAATGTTAAAGTAAGATATTTTTGATGTTGTTAAAGGACCAATAACTAAAGCAGAGGGTAGTTTTTTTTTTTACAATGATACATTTGCATGTAATAGTCACCTCAATATCATCCTACACAATCAACACAAATATGTGTAAAATGTTGACATTTGTATATGTTTTATACTACTAAAACACCGATGCGTACAAAGTGCGTACAGGACATTTAAAAAAGATTTTCATGTTCATTTTATGTTTACCCATTAGTCCTCACTAAATTAGGAAAAGTCCTGAAATACTAAGCAAAACAAATAATGTGAACCATTTTTTTTAGATACGTTGAACATTGAATGGGGTCAAATGTACCCCAAGATAACAGGAGGGAACCCACTGTTTCTCAAAATGTTATCTAAGGTATACTCCCTTAAAACCACAACACATGTTTGATAGTTTAAAACTTACATTACTTAATAGGGCGTGGTTTACAAACAACAACCTTCAATCTGAAAACACAAAAAATGTATACTAAGTGCTACATTTTAAATGTGTAAAATCCATCAGTAAATTCATGGTTAACCAAATGTTTGCCATTGAATAAAGTAAACCCTGCTCTCTACTTCTACTCCCAGTTTTATTTTGCGGCTCTCTCGTGCAGTAACCATGATCTGTCTCCAGGGGGCGACACTGGCCTTTAATACCACCCTCACATGTCTCGTGTTTATACTTTTTTTTTCTTTCCAGCTGTTTCATAATTGAACTAACGGAGTCACAGCTGTACACCGAGTCACAGCCGTATGTCTCCTCCCAATTAACACTGTTGTGTTACCCTCTGCACACACAACCACACCCACAGAACTACTTCCAAGCATGAGTGTGTGTGTGTGTGTGTCAGCACGTTGCATACCAAGTGAGAAAGTGAGCCACAAAAGAAGGCATTATGAGTGCACGCGGTCGGTCACCTCCATGTTTTCCCTGCATGGCTGTGCAGACTGATCTTTGAACCTGATCTCTGATAAATCCCTCCGCGCACATCAGAGGAACTGCTTCTCCTAAAATAATGTAATCAGTGAGCAGGAAACTTAAAGGAGGAACCCTTTAAATTCAGCCGCAGTGCCATGGATCTGTGGACCTCTGCTGGGACATCCTGAGTAAATGCAGCAGAAGGACTAGTTTTTTTACCTCAAGAAAACCCCTACAAACACAGAGATGTTTACTTTAACATGTTTTATCACGTGCATTTTGGTTTTTATACCGACGTGCCTCAGTAAAAAAGCTGTTGGCCGGGATGGGAAGGTATTTCTGGAGAATATTTTACGGTATTATGGACAAAATAATTCAATTTCAACGGAAAATCTGGAGAATCTACTGCTGCTAATCTCAGACAGAAGAGCCGAGTTGATAACGGAAGGAAACCCGCTTGCAGGCGAAGAGGTGAGCACAGAAACTATTTACATTTTATAAACGAATTAATGATAATTTACTAGAGTGCAGGGGATTTAAACGTGCTTGTCATGTGTTTATTATGGTGTAAAACGTTCAACATATTCATGGAACAAACGATACTAAACTTTATTAAAGTTATTACATTGTTATGTAATAATATTAAAGGGAACTTTATATGCTAGAGATTGCTAAAAAATGAACAAAATAAGAACAATGGCATGAAATACAAAGTTTATAACAAGTAATAATATCACCTAATCAAAATGGAATAACAATACTAGTTTAAAAAAAGTGTAGTTAACACAAAACAAACTAAACTGGAAATGTATTTTATACTCTTTCTACATGTTCATATGTCTTATTTTTAAGGCCCTTCCAGAGAGAGGCATTATACAGGAGCTCTAAATAGTTTATATCATCTTTTCCATTTAATAATTGTTGTGCAATTCTTTATTTATATAATCAGTTCTCCCCATCAAATAACGATTATCCTCTACTGTGTTGTGAAATGAACAGTGTGTTTGACACGATTAGCCATTGGTAGGACATTAAGATAATGAAATCAGCATTGTTGTCATTGTTTCTGTTTAACGATGTGTGATTACTCAATATTATAAACTTGAGTAATCACCCATTGTTTATAAAAACAATCATGGCAACAATGCTGATGTAATTATCCTAATGATTTATGAATTGTCAATTACAACATAGGGATGCATAACAAAATGCAAGAGGAGTTTTATATATTAGGGTACATACAACAAGTAGAAGTCAGTTACTAAAGTTTAGTTTTGAAATGTGTAAGTAAGTAAATATATAATAATTAAAACAAAGGTAGATTATCTGTGCATATAATTCTGACAACATCTTCTTTAAATGTATTTATCATCACATTTAAAACAAAAATATGAAGAATGCATATGAAAGAAGACGCAAGATACAGAAACATTCAAAACAAATCAAGAAGGATTTTAGAGACAAAAGGAGAAAACAATAAAATATGTACACAGGCTTCCAAAACTAAATCCAGTCGAAGCTTAATCTATAATGCACTTACCAAAACATGAACAAACATTATACCACATTACTCAAGTGCAGTTTTTAAATAATGATGAATAAATCATGTAAACGTGATGTAAACAAACACAAACTCCATTAACTGTGTGAATAATTTAAAAAAAAAGTCTCTACAACAAACCCTGGTTATTTAACCAGATAAAAAGCATTGAGATAAAATCTCATTTACAATGTTGACCTGGCAAAGAAGGCAGCACGTTTACACATAATTACACATAACACAGACATATAAAATACAGAGAACACAACTAACTAAACAAAAGACGAAAAGCAGTCACTACATTGTGCACATTAGGACAGTAAGAAAGGCACTACTTATTACTGCAAGAGCAGCTGGTGGTAAGGACTTCAGACAACTTCAATTTAAAACATGCTATTGAGACAAGTGCCCTCAGTTTTAGGCTAATAGAATACAGCTGACATCTACCACGAATAATCATTCTCAATATCAGAAATAAGAAGACTGATGCAAAACAAATGCACAATCAAATCAAAGCAGGAAGCATTTAAAGAGATACTTAAAAACCATGATAGATTATGTTTAATGGGAAATGTTTGTTCACAATTATTCTTCCACACTTGCCCTCGCTAATATCTCAGTAAATGAGCTAGTTCATCATTTTAATGCAAATTAATTTAAATGTTATATGCAACACTAATATGGCCAGGATCTGTTGAATTTTCAGAATATTGGGTTGCAGATTAACATTTTCAAAAGGGGGGTTCGTTTAGCATGAAACACTTGAAATAACTAAAGGATCAGTTAAAAAGGAAAGTGAGATCGAAGAAAACTATTTCTGCTAAACAGTTAGCAATGATTGAGAGTCGGACCTAAACATTTCAGATGTGTGTATCTCACACTGCACTGTAACTTTTAGTCATGTACCTTTTTGTTTTATTGTCTTTGCTTTTAAATGAGTGTTTTTAAATGCCATTTTATAATATGTTTCTTAATGTCTTTCATTTTTGTAAAGCACTTTGAATGGCCTTGTGTTGAAAGGTGCTATAATATAACTTGCCTTGCCTAATGTCTGCTCTCTGTCCCTCAGTGTCAGTCTACAGAGCAGATTTTGTCTCACTTTGGCTTCAGCAATGAGAGCCAGCTGACGGTGGAGCATCTGGGGAGGATCTGCCCCGCGGTGCTGACCCAGGTCCTGC